AGTGTATGACTTCCTTATCTGTAGCAACGTTAAAAGTTGGAATTCAGAAGCAGAGCCAGGGTGATGGACCCTAAACTCCAACCTTCAGTTCCTTTCTGCAGCTCTCCCAACTGGCACAGCACTTTCCAGTGTTCCCAACCATGAAAGTGCTCACAAGCTCAGGTGTTCCTCTCTGGATTCCCACTGCCTCTGCTCAAAACCAACAGAAGACTGCTGAGCAGGAAGAAATAAAATCTCGAACATCTGTAGACTAAATTCCAAGCACCCTGTTATGTTGAGACGATCCCTTATTGTGATGTCTAAGAGAAAAGAAGCACTCCCTCTCTAAAGTATATACTAACTCGAAGACAACTTTTATCAGTGAAATCAAGAAAATTAGTACACTGAAACTCATGGTCATAAAACAAGAAGGGCAAAACCCAACTAGATTCAGGTATCAGATCTAACCTGCATGAGAGTGAGGCCTGCAGACTGTCACTTGGCAGAGCAGGCACCCTGCCAGCTCTCCATCTCTTCCACCCACATTTGACTCTGGTTTATTTGTCTGGTGGTTTATTTGCTGGGTTGCGATGGGGCCTCACTGTGTAAATCAGGCTGCTCTCAACTCAGTCTTCCTGCCTTGTCTCATAAGCGCTGGAACTATGAGCAGGTTCTACCGTGGCTAGCTTCACACAATGCTTCTGAGGTCTAAATTTTACAAACACAGCATATGGGACTCAAAATCTTGACATATGTTGTCAAACACTATACTGCTGTTTCTTTAGCAGAGAAGCAAACAGACATTGATTCATCAAACCAGTCAGATTTTCATTAAACTCTTTAACCTGGAGACCATATGTTTGCTTCTACCTCAAGTACCTGAGGTTTCAAAATAGGCGTACAGAGTAGAAAACTACAGGACTTGTGTTTATAGACCTTAAAAGCTTTATTATAGTTCACATATAAAAATTATAGATAATGCATACTTAAAAATATTTACATTAAGAATTACTATAAAATACTTTAAACATTAATAAAATAGCTGTTCTTGGCTTAAAACATTCATGCCTTAGATATTAGATCTCAATAAATTCTTAATTATATCAGACACAGATTTTCAGATAATCAGAACACCTTCCTCCAGTAAAATTTTATATTTTACAACTTAGTGACTGCCATAGCAAAGTTGACTTAAAAATAATAAAGAGTAAGATTTTGTTTTTTAAGACAGTGTCTCACGCCCTTGATCCTCTTACTCCAGACTCCCACGTGACGGGCTTACCAGTGTGCACTACCATCCTGGAAAAGTACCTGAAAGACTTTACATGCTGTTTCTCCACCCTACCATGGGTAGCTTATAGAAACCTGGCTTTGAGGGTCTCAGCTCAGTCACACAGATCTGTCTGAGAGCAAGCAGTGAATTCCAGATCCTTCTGTTTTCAAGCAAAAACATTCTCCAACCAGGGAATTCTCTCAGGTACAGAGACTTGTAGATAACCTACTTGTACCTGAGCCTGAAAGCACACAGAGCATGCTGGGTATTGTAATGGTATATTAAGGCTGCTAAATTCAGGATATAAAAATCTCAAGATATCCAGTTAAATTCAAACTGCATATAAGTGACTTATAATGCACGGGTGAGCCACATGATATTGGGAACACATCGAATACCCAGGATTATTGATGGTTCTGAATTACAGATGACAAGGCAGGAGATGCTTTACCTGACAGCTCTACTCTTGACTTTTCTCCTAATGTGAGTCATGGAGCCCAGAAGATTCCAGGGACTGGATATGCTCTTTTCTCTTCCATTTTGAGCTTTGCCTAAATAAATTCTACTTTACATCTGCATAGTGTGGTGTTAGCAGTATTCATTCATGATTCTGTTGCAAACATGGAAAAATGATTTACTTATAATCCCTACCATATTGTATACTCTCACCAAAGATTATAGTGCGTTGAGTAGGAAATATTCCTGACCAGGAACAGAGACTCAAGTTTTCTCTACCAGTTATCTGCCTTTGAGCAAGAACATGTATCTCTTTCCAGGTCCAACATCTCAGATTTCCAGGATCCTATGCAGACTAAAATATGCCACAAGTAACCGAGGCGTGGTTACAAATTTCAGAAACAACGCCTCTAGCTATGTCAAGTTAAAGAACACTGGAGCCTGTACTGCCTATACGATGGTCTTGACATCTTAAAAACTCACTTGCAGAGACAAGCTAATGTCAGTCTTACCTTGTCACCCTCCTTCCTCAGACTTCCACATAGTGCTGCAAATGCCCACCATGCCTGTATTGATGACGATCATTACATTTAAATAAAGTTTACCTATTTAAAAATATACCTGCAGGTTAATGACAAACCTAAGATAATTTCACAAATTGTAGGTGTACAAAAAAATACATTATTTTGTTGCTTTGCCCACATATAAATTTTAAATATTTATTTGTATTTTTACACACATGTGCAAACATGTCTGTGTGTGCGTACAGATCCCTTGGAATTAGCATTACAGGTGTTTATCCCTTGTCCATCATGAATGTTAGAAACCAAACTCAGGTCCATTGCAAGAGGAACACCGAGCCATCTCTATGTGTAATTCTAAATGTCTGTAAATACCTGGAAAGTCAGCAATTTATTCTATTTATTCCAGAGCACTCCAAAATCAACTGTCAGACTTACTAAATCATCTACATGAGAACTCAAAAATAATATAAAGTAGTCACAGATCTGATGAGCTATCACCTAGACCTGTCTATGTCTAGATTAGTCTACATATGCCAAAAATGTAATTCTAACTTCTCTATGATGTTCTGATGGAAATCCCACGCCTTCACACAGAGATAGTCAGGGGCAAAGCATCTTGCCTTCCATTAACTAAGTTGCTGCTCCCAGCAGAATCACAGACGCCTTTCTCCAGTTGAGTGCTGTGCTCCCTCAGGATACAGGTGAGTGCTCCCTCAGAATACAGGTGCCCGGCACGCACGGCAAGTGCATGAATAACACGAAAGGGAGAAAGCGCTTCATCACCAGTGTTACGAGAATGACACAATGTCAAGACATTTCAGATTTGCCATTAGGCATGGGTCAAAATGCTACAGGATTTGCCATAAAATCAAGGACTTTCGTTATATCTGAAGTTTAAATTCCAATTCGGAATATACTTACAAACTTATCTGGAGTATTTTCGCTTACTAAATCTGGAAATCCTATGTGGGCTACCTTACCTTACCTTGGTATTTGCCAGCTTATACATTTCCTTTTTGGTTTCATTTCGTTAATTTTTTTTTTGAGAATTTCATACATGAACACTGTATTTACACCATTTACCCCTCCCTTTCTCCTCTCCAGCTCCTCATATGCCTCCTACTCCCTCTCAAATTCATGACTTCTTCTTAACTGTTGTTACAGATGCATATATGTATGCACACACATGTACACATACAACGTCTTCTGAGAACACAACCTACCGAGGCCATTCGGTGTTGCTCATATGTACATATGTTTAGGGCTGATATTTATGGTTGGATAAACTATCAGGGAACTCCTCCCTGAAGAAAACTGACTTTCCCTCTCTCAGCAGCCAATGCTGTTCTTTATCTAAAGGTGAAACGTGTGAAATTCCCCCACCCCCACTGCTATGTCAACTGTTGGTAGCATTACTCAAGCAGCCATATTGTTGTAATTTTGTGGGCACAGCTTTCCTGCCATGTCAAGAAGACACTATCTAGCAGTAGGTACTGGTCCTCTGGCTCTTAGAATCTTTCTTCCCTGTCTTCCACAATTTTCCTGAGCCTTGGGTATAGAGGTTACATTATATCTACTGTGGCCAAGCTTGCCAACTGTCTTTTGGGACTTAAGGCCTTATTAAAATGAGGACATTCATGTCTGACACTGTAAATCTAGTCGGTTGCCTGTGGCTGGACCAGTCATGGACCCTAGAGGTAACCTACCATTGCCATTCTCATAAATCTAGCCAACTCTCTGTGGGTGGAGTAATCACGGACCTACAGACCATCTACTGTGGCCATTCTGCTAAACAAATGTAATCTCTAACTGTAAATTACCCACAGGTAAATGTAGCTTCACCCCTCATTAAAGAAGTTTGCTTTTGTAACTGATGTACATTATTACAGAGATCCATAATTGGTCAAACCGCAGAGCTTACTGCTGCACACTGCACCAACCCCCCTCCCCCCATGTCTGCCCTCTGTGCACTGGCACCCAGTTCGCGACCTTCGGTCAAGGGAGCTGGAGGTTAAAATACACAGACACACACAGACAGAGATACAGCAACAGGGTCATCCTTGAATTCCCCAAGAATGCCCCTTTATTGTGTTCAGGGGCAGATTATATAGAGATAGCCACGCCTCAGACAAACACACCAGAAACCACTCTCCTGCCATCAGGAACTCCTGAAGGTCTCGTGCTCAGAGCAGCTGTAGGCACTCACATCAGGGGATTACAAGAAATTCAGGATCTGGGGTCTCACTGCTCCCAACAGCTTACATCTTTTCTCTAAAACACTTGGTTTTTTATTATCCTATAGTTGAGAGGTTAGACCCATTATAGCCCATGAGAGATGAGAAGGTCTAGGTGTGTGTGTGTGTGTGTGTGTGTGTGTGTGTGTGTGTGTGTGTGTGTGTGTGTGCGTGCATATGTATGAGCATGTACGGGAGTGTATGCAAGCTCTCCGGAGTATAGCACACATGTGGAGGACAGAAAGGACAATTTCAAGTATTGGTTCTTTCCTTTGACCTTGCAAGAGATATTGTCTTTTGTTTATCACTGTGTGTGCCAGGGTAGCTGGCATAAAAATTTCTGGAGAATCTCCTGTCTTCACCTCCATTTATCATTAAGAGCATCATGGTTGCAGACCCACCCTGCAGCACTAGCTTTTTACACAGAGTCTTGGCATTGCAACTCAGCTTCTCACTCTTACGTGCACAAGTTTTTCCTAGTGAACCCTCTCTCCGGATCCTGACACCATTCTGCAAACATCATGCCTGTCATACCTCTGAGTAGTTTAGGAGAAGTCCACTTAATAAAATATTCCTCTTCTTCATGTCCTCCGCCAAACTCCTAATCCACATCAGGCTCTCCATCTTTGGAGCAAGTGGAGCTAAGGTGAGGTCACAGCAGTGCACCTGAGGACACAAGCAGAGCGTGGCTCTCGTTAGCCTTCCCTCGGAGAGAATTAAAAACCAACTGCTGGAGTCTGCTAGCTTTGTTACTTCATGCGAATAAAGTCCAATGTCTTCTAGACAATAAGCACCTAATAAGTGAATGACTCCTCCTTTATGAATATGAAATAAAGGCTCAATGAAAGTACATTGAAAAATATAAAACATTACCATTATTGGCAAATCATACCAGTTTCATAAAAACACAATTCCAATAGTTGTTTAACTAATGATCTATAACAGGTTCATTATTTCATAACGTATAAAAAGCTAATAAAATTAAGGGAAGTAACTTTGTATAGTATTTTAGAATATCTGACATTTCTAATAATTATCTATGTCTATAATAAACCCCAAGCAATTTTTTTATGGAACATTTCTTTATGTGATGTCAGTATTCTGAAAAATATGAAATATTGGTAAGGGAGGACTCAGTTTTCTTTAAAGAGCCTGTCACTGGGAGTTTGACCATGCTCCAATGAACAATGAGCAACACAAATTGGATTTTTTGTATATTTTTTTCTTTAGGAAAGAAGCACGACGGGAGAAAGATGGACTTGGGAGGAATGGAAAATGAGTGTCACTGGAGTGCATTGTGAGGAATTCTCAAATAATCAATAAAAAAGAACATGTTGGAAAAATAAAAACACTTTAATTGAAATTTAAAGGATCGCAGAGAGATCCTTTGTTAATTCTACAAATTATTGGTACAGTTTTTCACAAGATAATTTAATTTTTAGTTTTTTTGTTTATTGAGACAGGGATCCTCTATGCAGTCCTTGTTTTCCTCGAACTTGTCCTGTACACATGAGTTGGCCATGAAATCATAGAGAGCCATCTGCTTCTAGCTCCTGAGTGCTGGAATTAAAGGCATGCACTACCACTGCCTGGGCCAACATAATTTACTAAGTGGAAACATCACACAGTCCTATTATAGGAAAAAGCCTAAATCAGTAGTTCTTAACCTGGGTTTACAACTCCCTTTGAGTCAAATGACCTTTCCACAGCGGTCATTTAAGACCATTGGAAAACACAAATATTTATATTATGAATGTAGCAAAACTACAGTTAAAAAGTAGCAATGAAATAATTTTATAGTTGGGAGTCATCACAACATGAGGAACTGTATTAAAGGTTTGCAACATTTGGAAGGTTGAGAACCATCAGCCTAAATGATGCAAAGAACAGGAATAAATGTGTGTGCTCTTTTGAAAGACCCAATTTAAAGTAATTTTCAGAATCAGTTATTTCCCTATTACATATGCAGACAACCAGCAACACTTTAATGTGGACCCTACCCTTATGCACTACAGAAACGGCCCTTCTGCCGCGGTCTCCCACATGGAGGTACACTGCATAGCAGACATACATTTTATTGTGTTCCTTCTATAGCGTACAGCAATGAGGCTTTCTACCCCAACATTGCATTTTCCTTCTCCAGGGAAAAATATTTATAAGAAAGTCTTTATTATTTATTTCACTGCTGGAGATTAAGCCTAGGGCCCCACACATGGCTAGCCTACAAACACTTATTGAGTTATGCTCGCTTTAAAGACAATGGTTTTAATAGACATTAGTTCAATAGTGATCCAATAACAATGAGCTAGTCATTAAACATAGTTAATTAAAAATATGTACATACAGTTATTTTTTTTGAAATTTAAAATGACAAAAGCCCAACTGTATGTCAAAGAAATAACTTTAAATGACATTTCACAAAGAAACTAAAAGAAAAAGAGCAAGGAAATAAAGGTTGTTCAAGAAAATTAAAAGTAGAAAGGCTTTCCAATGAGTTAGCCAGCTGACAGTGCAGGATAGGAGGATGTGACCCTGGAACCCTGGGCTCTCCTTTTCCTATCTCTGCTTCCAGAAAAGTCATACAGGCAGAACTTCAGCTGTCTTAGCTCCTGTCTAGTGAGCTACAGCATTGCCAGAGCTGAGAGTGCACTATAAATACTAGACATTCAGCCAATGGAGTTTAACTTGTAAATCAGTGTTTAGAACCCAAGTCCTCCCTCAATGCCCACCAGCTACAGCAAGAGATATTGGCTCCTATTTAGAAGTCCTATAAAGATGGCTCACCAACCATATTAAAGTTGATAAACTGAACAGACTCGTTTATATCATTGATCAAACTACATCTACAAAGTCCCCTTTCTATGGATTTGCATCATTCAAGTGAGCGGGACTTGCTGGTGACAGGCTTGCAAACACAGCAAGCTAACTTACCAAACTCTACTCAGCTGCACAAATTACAGTCTCGGACAGAACCAAAGTCAGGGGGTTGACTAGCAGGTCCTAAACCATCACGTCTGAAAGACCACTCCTGTATGATGCTTCAGGCTTCAAGGTACAATTAAACCCTTAAATATGTGTAAGTCCCAGTAACATATAAATACCAAAAAATGCTGCTGGCTTGCCGTGGTCCTACCACAGCCCGGGTTCAAGTCCTAAAATGCGGAACTGGCAATGACAAAAGAAATGAAGTAGTTAGTGTCCAATCGCCAGCTGAGTCGCAAACAAGAGTCTGGCCGCAAACAGATTGAGTCATCTTTATTTATGCATCAAAAACAAGCATGTTTTCCCACCCTCCAGCACTAACTTCTGGTAAAAACAAATAAGTCAAATCTGTTTCTTCCCAACATTTACATGAAAACAACTTTTAAACCAAAAAGAACAGTCAGCATTTTGCTAGCTTGGCTAAAGACCGAGCCAGGCACATCTTGTCCTTACAAAGCTGAAAAATGATAACCATAGGAACACGTTTTCAAGAACTACAATATCATTCAAAACTTAACAAGGCATGTTTATAGAAATGTGGGTGGTTTCCCATCAACTGATTTTATACAGTTAGCTTATACTTCTTCAATGGTCCATTACTGTTTACTGCCTCTCATTCTGTCAGAGCTGAATAAGAACAGTTCCTAGGCTCTGGAGTGGCACTTGCTATTTCTACATAGGAAACCTGAGAAGTATCAGTTCCCAAAGAATTTGAGTGAAAAATACTTGAGAAAAAAATGGGATTTTCAGAAATGATCATATCTGCCCATGTGTGACTGACAAACTGACCCTAAAAACCACCAAGAGAAGCACCAACACTAAGAGAGAAGAGAGCATACAGACTCATGGTTCCAGCGGTATTCTGCTCCATCCTGAGGTCCACTAGTTTTAGCCGAGTGAAAGACTGTCTCCAGTGGGCTCTGCCTCGTGGAAACCCATGGGACGAGCACTCATATGCTGATCCGAAGCTAGGCTACGTGACTCCCAACGTCAGCTAACACGTCACTCACAATTAATGCGTCTGAAGTCCTTAGCTTTTAGAATGAAGGACCTGGCTAATATGATTGCTCACCCATTTAAGTATATAAAGAGTAGCTTTTTCTTTAGTATAAATTTTACAAAATAATTTTCACGTTTTTTTTAAATCTCATACTGAAGAGGTGGGAGTGATCCTGGGGGAGGATATTCTCAAACAGTGACCACATAAAAGTGCTTTAATTCAAATGATAGCTGCATAGATATTTAAAGTGCAGAAAGGAGAAAGAGTGGGAACACTGATAACCTTCCTAGAGGAAAGATGATGGTCACAATGAAAACAGAGCTCTCTATAGAAAAGTTACCAGTGCTCCAGTGTGGGTCTCTGTCTCTATCTCCATCCATCACCAGATGAAGGTTCTATGGTGATATGAAAGATATTCGTCAGTATTGCTATAGGATAGGGTCAGTTCAGGTTCCCTATCCTCAGCTTCCCAAGGGAAAAAAAAAAAAAAAGAAAAAAAGAAAAGTTACCAGGAAGTCGACCCAGCAGGAAATGCACCTGCCGGAGTCTGACGCTCCTCTCTGGATGTCTGATCTGGGATCAGGTGCAGTTTTAGTTTCCCTGGGAGAACAGCGACGGAATCTGCTTGCCTCTAGACAAGCATATACTGAGGGCATGCTTCCCTTTTTTTTTTTTTTAAAGTTATAATTCCTGGGTTTACTTGGAAAGCTGATGTCACTTCCACACCAGCCAATACCAACACACACTTAACCAACACAGAGATAAAAACTATTCTTACAGAACACGCATTGTAGCTAAAACATGATGGTTGGAATGAAGGATGTGGTACAGTTGTCTCTAGAGTTGCTATTGATTCATGAGATGTATCACCTGGAACTAGGAGATTCTTGTTCCAACCACGGTTTTATAAAATGAAGCAGGCCCAATGGCTAAGACATTACATAACAAAACGTAGGTGAAAGGTTCTGGTCCCAACCTTGAATATTTTACTCCATACTGAGCATTGTGCTGCTTATACAACAAACTTTTTTTAAAAACACAGACATATATCATTAGATTAATAAAATTTAAGCATAAAAAATAGGCTGCAACTCAATATTCATTTACCAGATACAAAACCCTGATGGTATTTTAAAGATGAGGACAATATCCAATAGATATTCTCACTAATAGCATAATCTATTAATAAGCAACGTTATATTTATTTAGCTGACCATCATAGTGCGTGTGTGGAGTCTAAGGACACCTGGCAAGAGCTCATTCTCTCTCTCCACCACATGGGTTCCAGGGATCAAACTCATAATTGTTGATCTGTACTATCAGTGTCTATTCAAAAAGCCTTCTGCTGTGCCAATGAGTTCAAGGTTATTCCCCATTTTCTCTTCTATCAGCTTCAGTGCATCTGGTTTTATGTTGAGGTCTTTGGTCCATTTGGACTTGAGTTTTATGCAGGATGATACGATGGATTTATTTAAACTCTTTTCCATGTAAATATCCAATTGGAATAGCACCATTTGTTGATGATGCTGTTCTTTTTCCACTATGTAGTTCTGCCTTCATTATCAAAAATCAGAAGGCCATAGGTTTGTGAATTTACATCTGGGTCCATTCAATGTCTGCTTTTATGCAATACAATGCAGAGAAAGAAGTACATATCCCATAAGCTTGGGTATGCTGTGTGTTC